TTTTCATGTCTTGTCAAATATAAGAATAGACAGATACAAGCTAAAAAACGTGTATATTGGGTACTGAAATAAAATGTATTGTTAGAAAAATTTTAAATGATTCACATGATGGCAATAAAAAAATTAAAATCGATTATACATTTTTTAAAAATTACGACTCGTCTTGAACCGGCATCTACAGCGTTCCGTGCTGTTGCTATAACCAACTGAAGTACTGTATTTGTGAACTCAAGTCTTGCCTGTGTCGTAATTTTCTTCAATCTAAAATCAATTTGTAACTTTTATTAACTGTATTGTTAAGTATATTTTGGTAAGGTTTTTAATAAAGGAATCGTTTCAGTAAAATATCTTCACAGAATTTGAGATGGATTTTATTCAATTGTTTCTGTGGAAGGTGTGTGCGCATGCTTGAATGCATTTACACCGATAGTCGATATTTTTTTAGTATAAAAAAAAATAATGACATTGCCTATAGATTATTCTATAAAATTGTATCATTAAAACCCTACACTTAGATACTTTAATATTTACAAATAACACATGTTAGCTATATAATCTGTCACAAAGACGAACTCACGAACAACAGCATACTATGACGTCTATCACCATTATTGTCGTCTATCCATAAAATTCTTTTAATTTAGATATATTAAGTGTTAGATTGAGGATGACGGTAGTCTTGTCACTCGTGGTAGGGAGTTCGATTTCTGTTGTTCTCTACGGTGAAACATCAATAAACTGTGATGTTAAAGGACAACAATGTGTAAACATCATCTGCCAAGATTCACTGGGTTGGCTAGATTGAGCCTCAATCAATCAACGGTTACAACATCTTTCTAATCAATTTGCTTATATTTTTTTCTGAAATATATTTGACTTCTACCGGAAATGGAGATATCGAATGGGTTCCGTGGGGTATCTAACCACCGTCCGCAGATGAAAAAAGCGTTAGGTTTAATCGCGTTTCGATTTCAGTCTGTGGATTTCGGAATATCCTAAGTCAAAATTGTAATGCGCTTCTTGTTGTATATGGCTGGGATATTTTACCTACCACCAAGTAATGGAGTTCACATATCTGTCTTCCTCCAATACCCTAAAGACAGCTATTAAAGTATCGATGACGTTAGCCGCGATTCAAAGTCAATCAAAACTTTGCGCACGGTGTAACAGGCGGTCCTATCCTATCGACATTTTTATTAGCAGTTGATTTAGTACATATCGATTTGTCTCATCGATGTCAGACATCCAGCTGAACAGCTTAACATTTAACAATCACAAAACACAAGGAAAATAAATGAAATCATTTTTATATTTTATATGTTATTTCTATCGTTCCTTATAAACAGTAATTTATTACTTAAATTATCATAATATTTATCATCGATGACATTTAACAAGTTTATCGTAATTACAATTTGCTAAACTCGTAGAGAGTTCTGATATGGTGTTTAATGATTTCTGAAAGAATTAAATTTTACGTAATCGACCGCGAACCACAATATAATTAGGTTCTCGTTAAGAAGGCTTTGCGTGGGTAGTAGCAAAAAATATTAAGTCGAAGGTTTCGCTTATGAGCGGATGGGCGGAGTTACGCCCTCTATACAGTGACGCCCTTTAGAGCTGAAAAGCGACCGCCTTTCAGCTTCAGGAGTTTACTACTATTTTCATATTTTCATAAAATCCTTAAATCACATTATTACTAACAGTTTTTATTTTTATATGTTTATTAATCAAATTTTAACGACAGTAATTGGTAATGGTAATTTTTAATTTTGTTTAATTTTTTTCAGGACAGACAAAGACAAGCATGGAGTCAACTTAATGAAGGCGAATTCTCCATCCATATAACTATATCAGTAAAATGAGTTGTCGACCTATTTTAATTATAGATATTGGATATAAAGATGATAAAAATGAAACTAAAAGATCATTAACAAAGATCTCAAAACCTATAGTTTACGCGAGAGTACACTTTAATGTCGTAAGCAGGACAATTTAGAATCTTTTCAAAAAGTTTTATAGCATTTTAAACCGTAAAGGGTTTTATTTAAAAGGTCTTTAGACTGTTAATAATGTACAGAAGGGTTTAAATGCAGACTGTACAGCGAATGAACAAAAAATATATTCCGAGAGACTCAGATGTATTAATAATTAAAAGAAAAAAACATATGACTAATCGTGGCTAAGCAAATGTTTATTTAAACAAAAATTTATAATTTGTAAGCAATGCAGTTGTTTTTATAATTATAAGAGGATTAACGTAATTATCGTTTATTTATTTTTAATTTTAACAATATTTTGGTGACATATAAATAATGAGTTTTTTGTTTTAATTTTTTTATAAGACACAAATATATGATTATATTTATTTGACACGCTGTGAAACATCATCTCTTGCGCTATAAACTCTAATGGCGGACTGGAAGAACAATAAAACTAAGACACTATAGTCTAGATAGATATAGGTATCCTATACTTCTATATTAACGTAAAGTGAGGCTCCGGTTTAAATTAAAATCCTCTCAGACGAATCTTAGAGAATGCATTTACATGAAAGTAATTATTTGCCTCGTTATTTAAGCAGTATTTGCAACTTTGTAGGTTGCGGGTAGTGTACATTAAAATAAAACACTTAACGGTTTAGAACGTGAAATATATTTTAGTAATCTTGTTTGTAAGTAATTATAAATTAAAAATAAGTATTACTAATATTTCGCATTTTAACCGTTTCGTTCATTTTTGTTTTTCTTGAATTTGACACATAGAAATAATATTTAAAACCTCTTTAGATTGAAAAGAAGTTATCGTGTATTAAAAATCTTAAATCTCGTAACTATTTAGCTTTTCTCGGTCTAAGCACAGTTTAAGCAGTTAGGTACTATTTTTTTTTCTAGTTAAAGAAAACTTTAATATTTTTCACATTTTATTGCAGACACATTTAGGTTTAAATTACGAAAAAAATTAAAGATGATGAGTAGGACACGGTAGCTCTATTGGTTAGAGCAACAGCACGGATCTCTGTGGGTGCCGATTCGAGTCCTGCCCGTATTGTCAATGTAATTCTCATTTTTTATTTATACACGTCACACTTATGTACGTATTTAACCAGTTTTTTGTGTCGTTAACTTAGATCGTGTCGTTAAAAAGCTACGTTAAGTTTTGTGGTACTAATAAAAGCTTATACGACTTTTTCATCACAAAACGTCAGCTAAAGCAACAAAAATAGGGGGATTACGTCTCCACCATCTATCCCACATCTTGGTAAAGTACGCTCTTAGAAGAACACAGACCCACCATGCCACAATGATGGACTACTATATTCGTGATGAAAACAGACCACTAAATTAGAGATGATAGCACGCTTCAACTACTCTTCTACTCACATATATTTTTCAATCATAATACATAATTTTAACATATTATGTCTCTTTAAGATTTGAATATATCTTATTTTTCCTTCGTATAATCTAAATTTATAATTTAAGATTATAAGACAACAATATATACTAAATGTTTTTGTGCTCTTCAAATATTAAGGACGCATTTATTCAAGTACAAGCACAAAATATGATAATACAAAATGGCGACCCTTGTTTGCGTGCGGGATTGTGCATTAAGCTTCTTATGTTTTCTTTTTGTGTAAATGATAAAAAATGCAGTAATAAGACATATATACACACCAATAAGCTAAATTAATACTTGTAACTTATAAATGATATATAAGTAATAAAGTTATAAACAGATATGCACAAAACACTAGCGTGAACGTGTATTTGATACACCACTTGGTATATATAAAAAAAGAACACTTCAACGATTTTAAACGTGAAATATTTTAGCTAATTTATATTTACAAAAATGATGTTACCGTAAGATAACATATTTAACATAACTTCTACTTATATGTATTATTTTTTATAACAGTACATATAGTTTCTCGTGTACGCATGTAACTGAGACTATTAATGTTTTTTAACTTATATGTTTATAATAGTTTGTGTTTTGTTTGTGTACCTTATGAATAAATGAAATTTGTAAGGACATTACGATATGAGGGATTTATGAGTTTAATGAGAAATAATTTGTGACAGAGAATTTTATTGTACGATGAGTCACGCTCATAACGCTATAAGTACTAAGCATGGGGCGGACACATTACAATGTCTGTTTTATTGACTCATGTTACTAACATAGTAAAATATAGTTTTGGGTCCGATCAGGACTGTAGGAAATTTTTATTTTGAAATTTTAATGTGGCAGACTGATGTTGATGTTGATGAACCAATTCAAAAAATGTTAGTAAATTTGACGCCTACGACTGTTTTTTTTAATGATAGAGGAGAACAGACAAGCACGGGGTTCACTCGACTTATATAGTAGGTGATATACCCCAGCCTATATAGCATAATAATTTTATTTTGTATTGCATATTTCGAAATCCACAGACTGAAACCTTCACGGCCTTCTCATCATGACCCGGACTTCCCAACATGTTTTATAAAAAATATAAATTGATTAGAAAAATGTTGGACCCGTTGGGGATCAAACCCGCGACCCGTTGGTAATAAGCCGTACGTTTCTACCAATAGACCAACGAGGCCGTGAAAAACCTAAAGGCCCGTACTAAAAATGTAGTCCTTTGTTCTCGTAGCTTAGCTACGCCGTAGAACAATAGAGGTCTATTGTGCTACGCGGCTACGATTAGTTTTTCCTTCCTGGATTTTCCTAAAGCAATATTTAGTAGTGATAGAACAATATAAACATTTCATATTATCTCCATACATTTCGCAAGTTGTACTGATTTTAATTTTAGTAGTAAAATTAATGTGTAGTTTTAGTAAAATGACTATAAATTTAACTACGACCTAACGTTATAGATAGCAGCAGCTGTATATTTTGAGTTTTAGACCGTCAAGAGTGTTTAATTTAAAATATTTTATATGTTTGTTGACAATACTTTTTTTTTTGTTTTTATATACATATAAAAAGCGTTATTTTACCTGTATAGGTAGTTGCACCATTGGTCTCTGAAACAAAAAAAAAACAATAAAATTATAAATGAATTCTATTTTTTTCGTTAAATTAATTATTTTTACTATCTCTGTAGCTCTTTGATAGCTCTATGTCATATCACTACTTGTTGGTTAATGAAATCAGTGAACCGGAGATTAATGTAGTCGCCCGGACCGGGGAATCTTTTTTTTATAACAGACAAACATGAGGGACATCTTTGAAGGTATATAGATCAGGCCATGTAATATTTAAATTCTAACTAAGATGTACTGTTGACCTATTTTATCTTTGGTTATTTCAAAATCAATTCACGAATTTTTACATCTGATCGTGTGTGTTATTCCTCAGGAATTACATTTTTCCTACCACCTATTCAATATCCAGATTATCAAGGCGAAGTCTAATATTTTTAGATATATGTAGGAACTGGTAGGAACAAAACCCACGTACCATGATTATGAACCCAACACGCGCAACTACTAATAGGAGCGAAGAAAGAGCGTAGAAATAATGGGGAAAATTATCCTTGTGGGATTTCGTTCCGTACTGCGAAAAAGGGTTCAAGATTTCTCAAAAAATCTGTATGAAAGAATGATTCCTCTTGAAATAATCTAAAAATATGTCCGCGATAGTATATGTCTATCTTTAGATTAACTTCCAAAAACGCCGGGCCGCGAACAGTGGCAAAACCTTGGGGTGGCAAGCCGGCAAAATCCTAGCCGAATAGGCCCTGTCGAGGAATATCAATTGTTGGTTCAGCTTCTTTATATATTGGGGAAGTGGGAGGGCCCATTCGATGAATTTGCCACGGGCCTCGAACGGTATAGTTACGCCACTGGACGCGGACGACGTCGTGGGCAATAGCGTAAATTTATATAATTGAATAGGAGGTTTGCAAAAACAAGTTTTGGTGGACAAAATAACTGTTATACGTGGACGAAATCGCTGACACTAGCTAAGTATTCCATAAATACATTATAATATAAAAATCAGTAAAACTTATAAGTTACACGGTTTTATTTTTTGTGCATTGAAAACTACATTTTTTTCTTTTTATTGTAGTTTTAGATAGTCTTCGTGTGTTAATACTGTAGCCCTTTCATTTCATACCCATATTGAGAGGGTTAAGGAAAAATATATAATCCGCCATTATGTATCGGCGGCCATCTTGGATTTATAATGTTCTTGATTTTAATATATTGTATCTAAATTAAATGTGTGTACCGAATTTCAGATCAATCTGACAACAGTAAGGTACTTAAAATTCAATTTCTAATTTTGACCCAAATAAAACCGTTAGAAAGAAATGTTCGCGGCTTTGAGTACGTCACAAACTACATTAATTAAAGCAGTAATTATCAAGATTGTCAAAACCATTGATCCACAGAATACCTTGACCCAAATATCGTATCAATGCGATAAAAATGTTTTTATTATAAGAGAAGAGATTGTGACGCTATAAAAATGTACATAGACATCTCTCGGGTCACTACATTGTTATTATAAACTGGATTTATAGCTCAATGGTTGCAATATGATAAGTGCGGTCCTGAGTTCTAATCCCGGGGGGGAAAAAATGGTTTACAATATAAGGCAAGTCTGCATCACAACAGCTACTGTCGTCAGTAAATAAAATAAATCATTCAGATATTTCGGGAAACGATCAACAACTGTAATCAACGGGTCGCAGGTTCGATCCCTACCGAGTAGTTTCTTAGTAGATGACGTTTCTAATTAAGTAATGTATGATGTATGTCTGAAAATCTGGATTGTCAATGAGTGGTAATAATATCTAAATTCCCGCCCGAGTCACGAAACATCCACCACAGAGATATTTAATCGCGTTACATTCGGTTACAGTCTGTTTCTTTCTAAAAGGTCGACAGCGCACCTTGTTTAGATGTTATCTGGGAGCATCTTCCATCAAATAAACCCCTTACTTTTTCTTCGTTTTTCCAAACAACATCCAACATGTTTCAGAAAAATTATAAAACAATCCACGACCCGTTAGTTATTAGCATTGCTACCGAGATAACATTTTTACAATTGGGGTTATTTTCTTATTATTGTCTATGAATTAGAAAGTTATTTAGGCTATTTTACAGTATGTGATCCCAGGGCTCACTCCAAGCACCGTAGAGGGCTGGTGGTGTATTTAGTGGGTCTGGTCGGCTATACGATTTACCACACTCCTCGCGTCACACTTGGCCGATGTGGGCGTGCATTACGCATTTACACCATCAGTTAATAAATATATATATATTAAAATTTTTTCCTTGTATATTTCACAAGTAAAATGTGTATATCTTTACGATTTGATTCGTCCATATTATAATCAATATATGCCTCTTCTAACAGTGTTTTTGTTTACACAACTTATCAGAAGAGATAGTGGATATTATAAATATGTTGATAAAGAATATTTTCAGCTTATACTAATATATTTTAGTCAAATGGTTAAATAAAAACTAGCTCACCGGAAAAAAATTATTTTACCCTATATAGTATTTCGACAAAATTTTGATTACGAATAAAATGGTTCTTGCGAGTTTGTCTTAAGTGATAGACGTATAATGTCACGGATATTTTTTTAAATTATGTAAGTAGAGGTACAATTTTTTTTTGTGCCCTCAAACATGAATAATTCTGCCCGCTTTTTCTACACTTCCCATTGTTTCTTCTATTGGTTGCAGCGTGATTTTATAGCCTTCCTCGATAAATGGCCCAAGTAACAAGCTGTTTAGCTTTTAAAAAAATGTATAAGATGACACCGGCTAAGTGTGTGTTCCTTCCTCACAAAGGGTACCGTATCATTGATTGGGTACACAACGGTTGGTGCACTTACATGTTACATTTCAATTTTAATTTATGTCTTTATTTTTAAAGTAATTTCGTTAGTAGTGTTTTTGCTATCATTTAGTGATATCGAACAAAACGCGTTTCTTGTTTGGTAGAATGTTTTTTTATAGTTTGTTTCAGCGGCATAAATTATCACGACAAACAGATACCCAACAGCTGTTATAAGAATAGAGTTCCAGTTTTAGTTTAGTTTTTTTGTTTTTTACCCTTGGGATGCGGAATTGTAAAAATTCACGTGAGCACGGACAAACATTAATTTCTACTGATGTACTTAATTATTTTGAAAGTTTTTGAACAAACTGTGTCCGGTCCGACCGAGACTGTTCTTTATGTTTCACAGTCATATACGGAAGACGGAATAAAATCACCACACAACATGAAGGCTGACCCTACTACCACGGTGGCGATAGCGCAGCGAAATAAATTGTAGATGAGTAATATATTTCGCTTTTTAAACCGTTATTTTTTAATTTAAACGCCTAAAATGTATACTAGATTGAAAAAAAAAGTGTTTTATATAATGTGTACTACTCGCCTACAAGACAGTGCTTCATTTTGAACGTGTTATTATTTTTGCTACCTGTCAAAAGCAATAATTATTGCAAAGGGCGTCTATGGCGTGGTGGATCACGTTCCTTCCGCGAAATCTAACTGGACCGAGGCACCGCTTGTTTATAAAATATAATCGCACACCATATTTTGTTTTCATTCGATTTTTCTTGTTTATAATATCGATAGGAGCGATACGGCAAAAATTGTTTAGTTTCCGAGCTTCTCCGCATGTTAAGAGTTTACGTTTTCATCAAATTGCTGTTTGCAAAACACGCGCGAATGTTTTAAACTTTATTCGATTTATATTATGTTATTTGTGCGAAACAAATATGGATATTTTGAAAATTAAATGTAGGTCACGCGATACGCAATCGCTTTACTTTGAAAAGTTTAATATTGTTTACTTGTTAATGCACCTGATGGCACTATAAACTTGATATAGATTAAAAATCGAAAATAAAGGTTTGAACAAGCTGCTACCGATTTGATAGCCTCGGTAGGTTAGAGTGTTCACGGAACGCTGACGATGCCGGTTCAAGTCCTGCCCGTGTCGGAATTTTTTACAATTTATTTTATAATTCCATACTCTTCAATAGAACTGTATACTAATGGTAATATTATAAATAGTTTTAATATTCTTATTTCGCATTATTTTTAAGACCTTTCGGAACATCGGCCTGAGGGTGCAGACTGAAAAACAGCGCTGTGCGATCTCCTTCGTGCAGCATTCAGTTGAGTCTGTATTCTGATTTGCTACAAAATTTTAATTATACATTTGGCATTTAGTTATTAGTATTCTAATTGTATTTTTTTAGTTTTGTGGCATTAAATGAATTTTTCTTTCTTTCTATTATTATTGTCTGACCCAAATCCAAGAGCTAGTTTAAAAAATATAGGTATATGATATTTTTTTATGATAGAAAAGTAGCGCCACTATTTGAACAATAATATGGATCAGCAACGTTTAGTAAAAATTATTTTTAATTTCATAAATTGTATAAACATTATATAGATAAAATTATTTTTTTCTTACTACATCTATCGTTTTGCTGATTTGTTTATTGTTATGTTTATCATACTAATATCATTAAAACAATTAAAGTAATCTTTAATTATCTTATCTAAACCCTTGCTTTAACGAAATACATAACAAAAATTGCTTAAAACTTTTCGCACATCCCTTAAAAATACAAGAGATCTGCTGAAAAAAACATGTTTTTTAACGAACTGCAAGCTCATGCAAAAATTCCACCGAGTCATCTTCATCCATAAAATTGATTTCACTATTGAAAGGTGAATTTTCCAAGACATTTTCTTTGAATAACTTCTGATTACTCCTGTTATACGTCAAGATGTTTTGAAAAATCCATTATTTTTAAAACAAAACACGTTAAATTAATGCTAATGTGGTTTCTTGTCGTTTAAATAGAGCAAAATGTATTGTTCATTGATGTATTATGGAATACACATCAATATAGAGAATTAATAAAAATAATACTCTTATAAAAGTTAAATGTAATGTAAATATTATGTAATGATTATATGCTTTTTATATAGACAACAGTTGTTTTTTTTTTTATGGAAAAAAAATGCATGACACGGGTGCGACTCCAAGTCCACACTGCCAAGCATTCCCTTGAGACACTAGACCAAATATGAGACATAAAACAATAAAAGTTGATTGAAAAAATATATAATTTTAAGTAAATTTCCCTCTTACGTAATCATTAAAACGAAAGGAAAGTAACAAAAGAAAAAGCTCACCGCATCATCTATGTAGTAGCCATCATCTTCATCACGCTGGAGACACATCCAGATATCACAAAGATGAGTCACCACACCGGAACTTGATTGTACGAAGAATATAAAAAATTAGTGACTAAGTAAGACTCCTTGCGGCACACCTCCGTCGTTCTCTTTAAATGACTGAAGCGATACGAGCCCAATGTTTTGAATACAATCTGTAACAGAATAGAAAAACAATAATAAACTTGGCTGCCAGTGGCAATGGCTCTAAGTACGTTAAGTAAGGGTTATGGTGAGAGACACAGTACGAAATGCTTTACAAAAGGCAACTCTATTAACTTAGTGTAAGACTAATTTTCGAAACGCGCCCAGAAAACAGATGGTGGATGCTCACATTTTTTAATAGAATCCTAGATAATGTTAATGTTTTCTAAACATATATTTTATTATTATTGGTGCTTGAAGCAGGATTGAAGTAGAAATAGTTAAGAGACTTTAAATAAGTAATATTTCGTTTGGATGTTTACGATTGAGGCGAATTTTTCAAATAATGTCACGGATTCAAAGTATGACGTAAATAAACATAAATTATATAGACAACAATGCATCACGAACTGAATTCTTATTTACCTTAATGTAAGCACGTTTGGTTTCTTCTTAACATATTAGATTTTACAACTTTGACAATCTTTAAGATTAACACTTGTCAATAATGTTTAAATGTTTTGTTAAGAGTGCTTGACTTAAATAAAATACTTTAACGGTTCAAAACGCGATATACATATTATACTAGTTAGAGCAATCTCTCCATGCCCACTGCTACTGCAAATCATCTTTAACGTCGGTCCGTAGTTAAAATAATGTTCTAATAAGTTTATGTAATATACCGCGTTTTCAACCGTTAAAGTATTTTATATGTGTACTACTCGCGTAAACTACAGACATTCTTAACAGTACTTAAATAACATAATCTGTACAAGATTAAATAATAAACGAGCGAAATTGTTGAATAACAAAACTCATTAAAGTAAAATAAACAAAATTAATATTCTATTTGTTGTTCAAACGCGGAAGTGAAAATCAAAAATGTCGTAGTAGATATAAATAAATTAGCAATTTTGTAAAGGTCATTATCGCGAACGTAACTAGGGCTGCCATCTTCTTCATTCAATTCGTTGATAATTTAACACAGAAATATTGCTGAGATAATATTTGTAGCTTAGCTACAAAATACAAACTTTCTTACTGTGTTTGCAATGTAACTTATTATATTATTCTTAAGCTTCACTGTACCTGCACATTCTCATCTAATTTTATTTTTAAACATGATTTGGCTGGAAGAGATCACTGTATATCGATGTGGTCGCCCATAGCACTCCGTTACTAATAATATGTTTTTCCTCAGAATTGTATTTTTAAGATAAATTTTAAGGTGACATTTTTATATACGTTATATGTGTTGCAATAGGGAGTTTAATAAAAAGTGAAAAATTTAAAAAACGCAGTCGTCAGTTAGGAAGTCTATAATATAAATAAAAAAATAGTATTGTTTTTATTTATATTATAGTGATGATTCGACCCTAGAAACTTTTGCTTAAAACATGTAAATTGAACGAAGGCGTGTTGTAGACACTCCGTTATATATCCAAGTTACACGTGCTAAACATTTAAGCTACATAAACATACTATATAATATATAATCTATTAGTTATTTGTAAAAAAAATTTTTAAACATATTATATTTTGTCTATGAGATTATACGTAAGTATAAAAAGTAGGTCTTAGTTTTACTAACTTAATCCTTCCTTTGATTGCATGAAAACTATTAACTACACCATATATACTTATATTTTTTAGTGATAAGAGAGGACAGACAATAATGGGAGTTCACTTGATGGTAGGTAAAATACCCCCCCCCCCCCAGTATCTAAACAAGATGCGATGTCGACCTATTTTGCCTTTGGACATTCGTGTTTTATAATCGTATACCTGTTGTTTGGTCTTTTAACGAATTTTCTTAAGATTGAGGTACCTATACATGGTGGATCATAGCATATGACAAAACTAAACAGCAAGCTAAACTAAATGTTATTCAAAACAAAAACGTAATATAATCCCACAACATTCTTCAGCCTTGGTTCGGTGCATTTAAGTATAACACGTTCCACGTTTGTACACAGACTAATAAAAGCAAACACTTTTTGACGGCGCACACGTAACTATGCGGGTTTGGGAAGCGAATAGTTTAATAATCTTTTTTACATCTGTCTAAAAAGACTTAGCTTTGAGGAAAAATAGAATATTAATTAAATAGTATTTAATAAGAAAAATGTTAGACAATCTGATTTTATATAACAGATTGTATTATAATTATAACAAATTTGGTAGTACTTAGACCATTAAATAAGAAGATAATCGCTTTAAAATTATTGAAAATTTATCGAAAACAATGCGTGTTAAATTTTTAAGAATAACAGGTGGATCAGTACAATTCAAATGTTATTTATAATTCAATAAATGTTGAGATAAGCGCCATCTATGACATAAAAGTTGAACTACACACAGGTAGTAAATCTAAATAATAAGAAAAGCCGCCATCTATGTACCACCGGTTGAACTTGTTTTTTTACAGTCACGCCTGTTGCACGACCGGCCGATTGTTTACACAACACAAAAGACCCTTGTTTGTTTTTCGCTAGACGTTTCCTGGATTGTTTTGTGTGAACTCGTTCTGTATGTGTGTGTGTGTTTTCACAGCCGCCTATGTGTTTAAGCACTGTACACAAAATGTTTGCGCGGTTCGAACCGGCAATAAATTCTATCTTGACTTGTAGCGAGTTATTTTATGTGGTTAAAACAGCCGAAGACACATAATGAGACGTTTTAACAACATTGTTTTTTTAAGACTTCAATTGGTGTTCACAAAGAGTTGTTAATGGGAAGATATTCTATACTTTGAAGTATTTAGTAGATACCTTCGCTTCAATAAGCCGAACGATTCTTTACGAAACATTAACATAATTTCTTAAGTCTTAGCATTGCATTAACTAGCTGTGTCAGCGACTTCGTCCACGTATCATTGTTATTTTGGGCGTCAAAATTGACCAGGACCCACGACGTCGGTTGTTCTTGCAAGTTAATCTTAAAAGATAGATATAATTATAATGTTCCGGATCTTTTTAGATCATTTAAGGAGGAAACATTCTTTCATAAATATTTTTTCGATATCTTGAACAGTTTTCGCATCGTACGCTCGGCATCGAACAGAGATGAATACTTTTCCCAGTTTTTTCCACATTTCCTGCTTTTTCTTCGCTCCTATTAGTCTAAGCGTGATGTTATTTATACCTTTCTCGATATATGCTCTAACCAACATAAAACATATTTTTTCAATTCCTACCAGTAGTTCCTGAGATTAGCGCGATCGAACAAACAAAACTTCTTCAGCTTTATTTATTAGTATAGATAATCAATCATGCACGCGAGTAACATCCTAGCTAGTCATGGATTCAAATACATGTGTCAAATTATGGTCAGTTCTACTCTCAAACAAAAGAATAAAGCTTGTGTTAAAGGAATGACTAGTAAGAGTCTTAAGAAGTCTGAAGAAGAAGAAGAATGTCTTAAGTTAAGAGGCTTCTACTCTATTACTATCGTATTTAGTAAAACTATTTAACAGAGGACCAACAAGCCTAGATGGAGACTACAATATTCTCAGCCATTTTATATTTATTTAAAATGCGTTAGTAGGTAGTCTATTTTGAAGATTAACTCAGTGAGAGTCAAATCCGCGACCCGTTAGTTAATTGCTATACATGATATGTATAACAATGGATCTACAAGCACGTTACATTGTACTAAATATTTTGTGCACCATCATATCACTAATTAAGGAATTGGTAGTTTGGATTTTGGAACTGATAAAATGTCGCCCGATACGAATTATATATCTTAATATAATTAATAATAGAATATAGTTATTGTTTGTTATGTTTAATCGCGTTTCGGTTGCAATTTTTGGATTACTGTGTACCTAAAGACAAAATAGGTCGAGAAAGCATCTTGTTTAGCATACGGTTGAGGTATTTTATCTACCATCAAATAAAACACTTTAACGGTTCAAAACGCGATATATTAGTTAAACTTATTTGAAAATGATTTTTAACTTGGGCCCGACGTTAAATATCATTTTCAAATAAGTTTAACTAATATATCGCGTTTTAAACGGTTAAAGTGTTTTATTTAAATGTGTACTACTCGCGTAAACTATAAACAGTATCTTCCATCAAGCCACCACGCCATGCTTGTCTGTTCTTTTCTGTCGAAAAAATGTACAAAACCTGCGCCACATGAAAAACTCAACTACCTATGTAGGTAGTTGAGTAGGTTAGGTATGTACCTAATGTACTATCTCCATTCGTTCTTGACCAATTTTTTCTTAACTGTGTTATCGCGACTGCTCATTCGGTCGCGAATATTTACAATTATATAAACACTGATAAGACCTTTGTAAAATAAACAATGTGAATTTATCGGCTTTGTTTTAAGCAATAAAAGTGTTTGTTGAAAACGTGTACGGATTATATGCGGTAGGTAATTAATTACTTGGTAACGAACGCGATAGTTTTCACTTCTTGTTTACACCGAGTTTCAAGTCGTTTATAATGCATTGATATCTGTATTTTTCTAATATAACCAAGATATTCTTTTCCGGGTATCCAAAGCCGACATACGTTGACAGACGGGGGTATATCACGACCCATCGAGTGTACCCCTATCTTCGTCTGTCCCATTCTATAATTAAAAAAATGCCACAAAGTGTCAACATATCTGAGAGCATCAATATTTTTGATATTGTACATGATGACATTATATTAGATAAAAGTAAATTTCACGATACGGGACTCAAGCGTTCACAGCTTGCTTTGCTGCTAACCACGGAACCCAATTGCTTACAGAGGCAGCACGTCAAGCTGTGGATGCACGTTCAAGTCCTAATCATGTAATATTTTTTCAAACTAAATAGATTTTAAATTTATTTGTTTAACTCTTCATGTTGTCTTCTT